ATTTGTATTAGTGTTACTGTACAACTAAAGCACTCAGCTTTTTAATATACATCAAAATTTGAAATATGTATGCCTTTTGGCCCAGCAATTTACTTTCAAGAGTTTATTATTCTTAAAATAATTTATTTTTAAAAATAATCATCAAATAGTATACAGAATTTTTAATAAAGATAATACAGGCTGGTTATATTATTCTACTGTAAGATTAGTCCCTTCTTTTTTTTAAATTTATTTTTATTTGTTTGTTTATTTTTTGCTCTGTCGCCCAGGCTAGAATGCAGTGGTGCATCTCAGCTCACTGTAAGCTCCGCCTCCTGGGTTCACACCAATCTCCTGCCTCAGCCTCCTGAGTAGCTGGGACTACAGGCGCCCGCCACCGTGCCCAGCTAATTTTTTGTATTTTTTTAGTAGAGATGGGGTTTCATCGTGCTAGCCAGGATGGTCTTGATCTCCTGACCTCATGATCTGCCTGCCTTGGCCTCCCAAAGTGCTGGGATTACAGGCGTGAGCCACTGCGCCCGGCTAGATTAGTCACTTCTTTGCACAGAAATTACACTGGTATATAGGGTGATTTTTAAAAGTTAGTTGTAAAATATACATAACAATAAATTTACCATCATAATCATTTTTAGGCATAAGGTTCAGTAGTGTTAAGTACATTCACACTGTTGTGCAGCCAATCTCCGGAAGTCTTTATCTTGCAGAAATGAAACTCTGTTCTCCCAGCCCCTGACAACTACTAGTCTACTTTCTGTCTCTATGAATTTGACTACTCTAGGTGCCTCATATAAGTAGAATCATACAGTATTTGTTCTTTTTTGTGGCTGGCTCATTTCACTGAGCAGAATATCCTCAAGGTTGATCCATGTTGTAGCATGAGTCAGAATTTCCTTTTTTAAAAAACTGGTTTTAAATAAGACTATTTTTTGGAGCAGTTTTAAGTTTACAGCAAAATTGAGTGGAAGATACAGATAATTCCCCTATACTTCTCTCCCTTACACTTGTACAGCTCCCCCACTATCAACATCCTGCACCAGAGTGGTACATTTGGTTCCAATTGTTGAGCCCACATTGACACATTGTTGTTACCCAAAGTCCATAGTTTACATTAGGGTTCCTTCATGGTATTTTACGTTCTATGTATTTGAACAAATATATAACTCATATCCACCATTATTGTATCATATAGAGTAGTTTCACTGCCCTGAAAATCCTCTGTGCTCTGCCTGTTCATCCCTCCCTTCCCCCTAATCCTTGGTAACCTCTAATCTTTTTACCATCCCTATAGTTTTGCTTTTCCAGAAGGCTATGTGATTGGAATCATAAGTGTGTAGCCTTTTCATATTGGCTTTTTTCATTTAGCAATATGCATTTAAGCTTCTTCTACTAGCTTGAAAGCTCATTTCTTTTTAGTGCTGAATGATATTCTATTGTCTGGATGTACCACAGTTTATCCATTCACCTACAGGAGGACATTTTGGTGCTTCCAAGGTTGGGCAATTATGAATAAAATTATAAACATCCATGTGCAGGTTTTTATGTGGATGTAAGTTTTCAACTCCTTTGGGTAAATACAAAGGAGTATAATTGCTGGATTGTATGGTAAGAGTATGTTTACTTTTATAACAGACTGCCACACTGTCTTCCAAAGTGGCTGTACTATGTTGCATTCCCACCAGCAATGAATGAGAGTTCCTGTTGCTCCACATCCTCAATAGCGTTTGGTATTGTCAATCTTTCGAGTTTTCGATATTTAAATAGATGCGTAGTGATATCTTATTGTTTTAATTTGTAATTCTCCCATGACATATGATGTTGAGCATCTTTTCATATGCTTATTTACCATTTATATTTCTTCTTTGGTGAGATCTCTTCAGGTGTTTTGCCCTTTTTTAAATCGGGTTCATTTTCTTATTGTTGAGTTTTAAGAATTCCTTATTTTGGATAACAATCCTTCTGATTCATCTTTTACAAACATTTCCTCGCTGTCTATGTCCTGTCTTCTGATTCTTTTGGCAGTGTCTTTCACAGGGCAAAAGTTTCTTGTTTTAATGGAGTCCAGCTTATCGATTTTTTGCTTTTATGGATTGTGCCTTTGGCATTGTATCTTAAAAGTCATTGCCATACCCAAGGTCAACTAGATTTTCTCCTATGTTATCTTATAGGACTTTTATGGTTTTGCATTTTACATTTAGGTTTATGATCCATTTTGTATTAGTTCTTGTGAAGGGTGTAAGGTCTGTGTCTAGATTTCTCTTTTTTTTTTTTTTTTTGGTGTGTGATTGTTCACTTGTTCTAGCACCATTCATTGAAAAGACTAATTTTGCCAAACTAATGTATTGCCTTTGCTCCTTTCTCAGAGATCAACTGGCTGTATTTATGTGGGTCTATTTCTGGACTCTCCCTTCTGTTACATTGGTCTATTTCTCTGTTGTTTCGCCAATACCAGACTGTCTTGATTACTGTAGGTTTATGGTAAGTCTTAAAGTTGTGTGGTATCAGTCTTCTGATTTTGTTCTTTCAATATTTTTTTTGGCTGTTCTGGGTCTCTTGCCTCTCCATGTAAACTTTAGTGTCAGTTTGTTGATATCCACAAAATAACTTGCTGGGATTTTGATTGGGACAATGTTGAATCTAGAGATCAGGTTGGAAGAACTGACATCTTGACGGTATTGTGTCTTTCTATCCATGAACATGGAATATCTCTATTTAGTTTTTATTTGATTACTTTCATCAGAGTTTTATATTTGTTTTCATATACATCTTGTACATATTTTGTTAGATTTATACCTTACTCAGTATTTCACTTTTTGGTGGTACAAATGTAAATGGTATTGTGTTTTTAATTTAATTTCAGATTCCACTTATTCATTTCTAGTATATAGGAAAACAATTAACCTTGTCCCCGTAACCTTGCTGTAATCACTTACTAGTTCCAGGAGTTTTTTTTATTGATTATTTTGGATTTTCTACATCAACAATCATGTCATCTATGAAGAAAGACAGTTCTATTTCTTCCTTCCCAATCAGGGTACCCTTTATTTCTTTTTTAAAAATCTTATTGCATTGGTTAGGACTTCCAGTACAATGTTAAAAAGAAGTGGTGAGAGGCGATTTCCTTGTCTTCTTCCTGACCTTTTTTTTTTGAGACAGAGTCCCGCCGTTGCTGTGTCACCCAGGCTGGAGTGTAGTGGCATAATCTCAGCTCACTGCAACCTCTACCTCCTAGGTTCAAGCAATTCTCCTGCCTCAGCCTCCTAAGTAGCTAGGATTACAGATGTGTACCACCACGCCTGGCTAATTTTTATATTTTTAGTACAGACAGGGTTTTTCCATGTTGGCCAGGCTGGTCCCAAACTCCTTACTTCAGGTGATCCACCTCCCTTGGCCTCCCAAAGTGCTGGGATTACAGGTGTGAGCCACCGCACCCAGCCTTCTTCGTAATCTTAATGGGAAAGCTTCTAGTTTTTCACAGTAAAGTATGATGTTAATAGTAGGTTTTTTGTAGCTGTTCTTTATCAGGTTGAGGAAACTCCCCTCTTTCTAATTAGCGTTTTCTTCCTTTTTAAGACTGAGTAATAGGTGGTACGTGTATACCACTTTTTTTTTTACCCATGCATTCATCAATGGTCACTTGGGTTGCTTCCATGTTTTGGCTGTTGTGAATAAAGCTGCTATGAACATGGGTGTACAGATGTCTATTCAAGATCCTACTTTCAGTTTCTTCTGGGTATATATATCCAGAAGTGGAATAGCTGGATCATGTGGTAGTTCTATTTTTGATTTTTTTTGAGGAACTAATATGTAAAATTTTATATACAAGGACAAATTTTATACTGCATTGATGTTTATTTTATAACAGCAAAAACTTGGAAGCATATTTGATCAGCAGGTGACTGGTTATATAAATTATGACACATGGATATAATAAAGTATTATGCAGCTCTTTGAAAAAGATATGGTAGATCTGTATGTTTTGACATGCAACAATGTCCAGATATATTGTAATATGAAAAAGACAGTATGTATAATATGAACCTGTTTTTATTTTAAATCTATGTATGTATGCTCCAAATTTATTTTTCAAAAATAATGAACTTCTGGGGTGGGGAGGAGTGGAGATTATAAGTGTGATAGAAGAGCCAACTTTTAACTTTACTGCCTTATAAATTACTGTATCATTTTGGGGTTTAAAGGAAGCACAGTTTTTTGTTTTTTTGAGGGGCAGGGGGTTTGTTTGTTTGTTTGTTTTTGAGACCGAGTCTTGCTCTGTCGCCCAGGCTGGAGTACAATGGCACAACCTTGGCTCACTGCAACCTCTACTTCCCGGGTTCAAGCACTTCTCCTGCCTCAGCCTCCCAAGTAGCTGGGATTACAGGCGCCCGCCACCACGTCCGGCTAATTTTTTTGTATTTTTAATAGAGACAGGGTTTTGCCATGTTGGCCAGGCTGGTCTCGAACTCCTGACCTCAGGTGATCCACCTGCCTGGGCCTCTCAAAGTGCTGGGACTACAGGCACGTGCTGCCATGCCCTCAAGAAGCAGTTTTATAAGCAGAAAGACCAATTTGAATTTTTGGGAAAAAAGTTGACTCTCACTTGTCTTTGACATACAGAGAAAATGTTAAGTATTTCACTTATTTACTAAGTGTTTTTATGTCCACAAGGTCAAATGCTAGTCACTGAGGTATCTTGAGTATCTTTTTATTGTTATATTTGAATGTCTTTTTATTATTAAGGGTATCTGTTGTTTTGTGATCTGAGGTATAAAATTAGTACAGCGAATTTCCATCAAAATGGTTTCACATAAGGAATACCACTCTGTCATTTTTGTGTCACATTTGAGTGGTGCTTCCCATTTGCTATGACTTGGTATGGCATGGTAAGTAGCGAAATTGGAAGTTTGTCAGGGTTCCTCTGATCTTGAAGAAAATATCTCTTAGTTTAAGCATTGTGTTATATTACATACTGAATCCTGTTCTTTTTCTTTTTTGTCTGACAGTAGAACTTCATGGAGGAACACGGAGTGACCCAAACTGAACATATGGCTACCATAGAAGCACATGCAGTGGCCCAGCAAGTGCAGCAGGTCCATGTGGCTACTTACACTGAGCACAGTATGCTAAGTGCTGATGAAGACTCGCCTTCTTCTCCTGAGGACACCTCTTACGATGACTCAGATATACTCAACTCCACAGCAGCTGATGAGGTGACAGCTCATCTGGCTGCTGCAGGTAATGTTGTTTGGATTAGAAGCTCTTCTTTAATTTTTATTTATTTATTTATTTATTTTGGAGACAGTGTCTTGCTCTGTTGCCCAGGCTGAAGTGCAGCGGCACAATCACAATTCACTGCAGCCTTGATCTTCCGGGTTCAAGTGACCCTCCCATCGCAGTCAGCCTCCAGAGTCGCTGGGACTGCTGATGCGTACCACCACATCTGGCTCATTTTTGTATATTTTGTAGAGACAGAAATCTCACTGTGTTATGCAGACTGGCCTCAAACTCCTGGGCTCAAGCGATCCTTCTGCCTCGGCCTCCTAAATTACTCGGATTACAGGTGTGAGTTACCATGCCTGGCCTTTATCACAACTTTTTTAAGCCTTGCAGTTATAACTTGAGCCTGTGTTGTATTGAGGCTCGAGGTCCAGAATCACTTACTATCAGTGTTATGACTTTGGTTTTATTTTTTCATCTATTCTGCCTGTGTTTTGGCTTTAAACTGAAGCATTTATTCCAATTACATTAAACAGAATCACTGACACATATTTAGATTTAAATTTACCTTCTTTTCTATATGCTTTCTCTTTGCCCTACCTGTTCTGTTTACTTTTCTCTTGGCGTTTTCTTTTGTAGTGATTGAAAATTTTCTATTTTTTCATTTCTTTTCTTGTTAGTTTGAAAGTTATAAGCTTTTACTATTATCAATACCTGTAGAAATTATAGCATACATCCTTTATTTATCAATGTCTTATGTTGACTAGGCTCAGTGGCTCACACCTGTAATCCCAGCACTTTGGGAGGCCAAGGTGGGAGGATCACTTTAGCCCAGGAGTTTGAGACCAGCCTGGGCAGTGTAGTTCGATCCCATCTCTACCAAAAAAAAAATTAGCTGGGTGTGGTGATGTGCTCCCTAGTCCCAACTACTTAGGAGGCTGTGGTGGGATGACTGATCGCTTGAGCCCAGGTGTTTGAGGGTGCAGTGAGCTATGATTACACCACTGCACTACAGCCTGAGTAACAGAGTGAGAGCCTTGTGTCCAGTTGAAAAAAAAGGAAAAGCAAAAAGTTGTATGTACTTGAAACTTTTAACCTCTCTACAGGGATCATACAAATTTCTTAGAACACTTGCATTTCATGCGCCCATCCTATATGCTATTATTGTCGTTTGGTATACAGTTGGCTCTCTTTACTGTGGATTCCACATCTGTATATTCAACCAATTTTGAATCAAAAGTATTAGGAAAAAAATTAAAAGTAACAATATAACAATTAAAAATAATACAAATAAAAGGCCAATATAATATAACAACTATTTATATAGTATTTACATTGTATTAGGTATTATAATATTAGCATTAGTAACCTAGAGATGATACAGAAGGACGTGCATAGGTTATGTGCAAATGCTACATCATTTTATTTCAGGGACTTGAGCATCTGCACATCAAGGTGCTGGAACCAATTTCACGAGAGTTTGAAGGGACAACTGTATTTTAAACACCACAAGACAATTTTATTTTATTTTTTTTTGAGATGGAGTCTCACTCTGTCACCCAGGCTGGAGGGCAATGGCACAATCTTGGCTCACTGCAACCTCTGCCTCCTGGGTTGGAGCAACTCTCCTGTCTCAGCCTCCCGAGTAGCTGGGATTACAGGTGTGTGCCACCATGCCCAGCTAATTTTTGTGTTTTTAGTAGAGATGGGGTTTCACCCTGTTGGCCAGACGGGTCTTGAACTCCTGACCTCAGGTGATCCACCCACCTTGGCCTCCCAGAGTGCTGGGATTATAGGCATGAGCCACCGCATCTAGCCAACAATATTTTTATTTAATAAATAATATTCATTTTTTTTCCCTGCATCTCCAACTGGTCTCCTGAGATGATTTTTCTTCCGCCTAAAAACACCATTTAGTATTTGCATTAGCATGGATCTGCTAGTAGCAAGTTCTATTTTTGCTTGTCTATGAATGTTTTTACTTAAACTTCAACCTTGAAGGATGTTTTCACTGAGTATGGAATTCTAGCTTGGTGGTTATTCTTTCCTCATGTTGAAAGGTACTGTTCCGCTGTCTTCTGGATTCCATTGTTGCTATTGAGAATTCAGCTATTTCATTCTAACTGCTAGTCTTTCAAAGATTATCTCCCACATAGCCTGCCCCCTCTCCCCACCCAACTGATTTTTCTCTTTAGTTTTTGTGATGTATTTGGCTCTGATTTCTATTTATTTATTCTGTTTAGGATTTTTTTGTACATCTTGACTATGTGGACCAATGTTATCAATTCTGGGACATTTTAGCCACTAGATTTTGCTTCTGCTGCATTCCATCTCTTTTTATTCCATGGCTCCAGTTACTTATGTTAGTCTTCCTCACTTGTATGTCTGTTACTATCTGTTCTGTATGTATCATCTTTCTGTGTAGTTTCTTCTTTCAACTTGTGATTTTCTTCTTTAGCTATTGTGTTAGTCCGTTTTCACGCTGCTGATAAGAGATACCCATGACTGGGAAGAAAGAGGTTTTAATGGACTTACAGTTCCACCTGGCTGGGGAGGCCTCACAATCATGGTGGAAGGCAAGGAAGAGCAAGTCACGTCTTGCATGAATGGCAGCAGGCAAAAAGAGAGAGAGCTTGTGCAGGGGAACTCCTCCTTTTAAAACCATCAGATCTTGTGAGACTTATTCACTATCACAAGAACAGCATGGGAAAGATCTGCCCCCATGATTCAATTACCTCCCACCGGGTCCTTCTCACAACATGTGGGAATTATGGGAGTATAATTCAAGATGAGATTTGAGTGGGGACATAGAGCCAAACCATATCATTCTGCCCCGGCCCCTCCTAAATTTCATGTCCTCACATTTCAAAACCAATCATGCCTTCCCAACAGTCTCCCAGAGTCTTAACTCATTTCAGCATTAACTTAAAAGTCCACAGTCTAAAGTCTCATCTGAGACAAGGCAAGTCCCTTCTGCCTATGAGCCTGTAAAATCAAAAGCAAGTTAGTTACTTCCTAGATGGCAGTGGGGGTACAGGGATTGGACAAATACAGCCATTTCAAATGGGAGAAATTGGCCAAACAAAAGGGCTACAGGCCCCATGGAAGTCCAGAATCCAGCAGGGCAGTCAAATCTTAAAGCTCCAAAATGATCTCCTTTGATTCCATGTCTCACATCCAGGTCATGCTGATGCAAGAGGTGGGGTCCCATGGTCTTGGACAGCTCTGACCCCTGTAGCTTTGCAGGATACAGCCTCCCTCTCAACTACTTTCATGGGCTGGTGTTGAGTGTGTGTGGCTTTTCCAGGCAAACAATGCAAGCTGTCGGTGGATCTACCGTTCTGGGGGCTGGAGAACAGTGGCTAGGCAGCGCTCCAGAAGGGACTCTGTGTGGGGTCTCCAACCCAACCCCACATTTCCCTTTCACACTGCCCAAGCAGAGGTTCTCCATGAGGGCCCCACCCCTGCAGCAAACTTCTGCCCTGCATATCCAGGCATTTTCATACATCTCTGAAATCCAGGCATAGGTTCCTAAACTCCAGTCCTTGACTTCTGTACACTTGCAGGCTCAACACCTTTGTGGAAGCTGCCAAGACTTGGGGCTTGCAGCCCCTGAAGTCATGGCCCAAGCTCTGTGTCAGCCCCTTTCAGCCACAGCTGAGCAGCTAGGATGCAAGGCACCAAGCCCCTAGGCTGCACACAGCACAGGGACCCTGGGCCCAGCCCTTGAAACCTCCTAAGTATCCAGGCCTGTGATGGGAGGGGCTGCCATGAAGACCTCTGACATGCTCTGGAAACATTTTTTCCATTGTCTTGGGGATTAACATTCATCTCCTTGTTACTTATGCAAATTTCTGCATCCAGCTTGAATTTCTCCTCAGAAAATGGGATTTTCTTTTCTATGGCATTGTCAGGCTGCAAATTTTCTGAGCTTTCATGTTTTCCTTCCCTTATAAAACTGAATGCCTTTAACAGCACCCAAGTCACCTCTTGAATGCTTTGCTGCTTAGAAATTTCTTCTGCCAGATACCCTAAATCGTCTTTCTCAAGTTCAAAGTTCCACAAATCTCTAGGGCAGGGGCAAAATGCCACCAGTCTCTTTGCTGAAAATAACAAGAGTCACCTTTGTTCCAGTTCCCAACAAGTTTCTCATTTCCACCTGAGACCACATCAACCTGGACTTTATTGTCCATATCACTATCAGCATTTTGGGCAAAGCCATTCAGCAAGTCTCTAGGAAGTTCCAAACTTTCCCACATTTTCCTGTCTTATACTGAGCCCTCCAAACTGTTTGAACCCCTGCCTGTCCCAAAGTCGCTTCCACATTTTTAGGTATCTTTTCAGCAGCACCCCATTCCTAGCACCAATTTACTGTATTAGTCCATTTTCACACTGCTGATAAAGACATACTCAAGACTGGGATGAAAAAGAGGTTTCAGTGGACTCACAGATCTATGTGGCTGGGGAGGCCTCATAATCATGGCAGAAGGCAAGGAGGAGCAAGTCATGTCTTACACGGATAACAGCAGGCAAAGAGTGAGAGAGTTTGTGCAGGGGAATTCCTCTTTTTTAAACCCCCAGATCTCATGAGACTTACTCACTATCACAAGAACAGCACTGGAAAGACCTGCCCTCCTGATTCAGTTACCTCCCACCAGCTTCCTCCCACAACATGCGGGAATGATGAGAGTACAATTCAAGATGAGATTTGGGTGGGGACACAGCCAAACCATGTCAGCAGTGTTTAAGGTGCCTTTTTTATGTTCTCTTTTCTTTGTTTTTTCTTTATTTATTAAGGTGCTTTTAAATCTGTTCATTGCCTTATTAATTTTGGTAATTGTTAGTAGTTTAACCAAAACTAACCATTTTTTTCCCTCCAGTTTTAGAATTTCTAGTGTTTGTGTGTGTGTGTGTGTGTGTGTGTGTGTGTGTGTGTGTGTGTGTGTGTGTTTCCTCCCAGATTTTCACTGAACAGTTTCCAATAGTGGAAAAACATTTCTTTTAAGCAAATAATTTTA